TAAAGTTTTACAGGCGCAAAAGAACGCAAATCTACAGGAAAACCCCTCTCTTTCACCATTTTACCGATTTGATAATATTATAGCTCATTTGTTGTAAATGCTTCAGTAATCCAGAAAATCAATCGATCACTATTTGCTTCGAAATTATCGGAGGGAAAATATTTTAGTAAATTTTGCTTCCTCGAAGAATTTTAGAACCCACAATACACTCAATATCAAATTTGAACCGGACGGGTCCATACAAACTGCGTGCGTAAACCGAATAGCTAAACATTTGACACAGCACAACAGAATATAAAGGCATGATAGATGGCGCAATACTAAAAGCTCAAATCTAAAAATGAAGATTACAAAGCAAAAAACATCAAAGCCCTAGAATATGCACCGCAAAACCGCATTTCAGATTTTTAATTGTTTTTCTGCGTATTTCACATTATGTAATTCCACTATAATGACGCATTCTATGCCCGGCTTTAATAGTAAGCCCCGCGGCGCAATATTTTAAGTGACTTAAGTCAATGAAAGCAATAAATTATCAATAGAAAACAATTTACCTGCAATACATTGCCAACCAAAATCAATTGAAAATATAAAATTAATGCGAAAATGCATTTAGTATTTAAAATTATTATGCAACAAACCATTCATCCGAATGAAAAACAGTGCACAGCAAACACGGAGCGGGTTTAAGTACTCAAAATACGCTTGTAAATACCTTAGCGACAACTCGTGCGTCAAGCAAATATTTATGCATACACATATGTAAGTATGAGTAAAAACTAACACGCAGGAAATTTCGAGACCGGGAAGATCAGGTTCATTAAATAATTAAACTAACCAATAAAAAAACGTTTACCTTGGCAGCATCGAAGCTATAATACCCTTCACAGTTTTTTATAGCATAAAAGGGTATAACAAGATCCTTATCTTGATTTTGACTAGTCAGCTTAAATGGAAGCTATATGCTAGGGTGTTCCGATCTAAACAATTTCTTTGGATATTGTAGCGATACCTTGGGTAATAGTCTATGCCAAATTTCGTGAAGATACCTTGTCAAATAACATAAGATACCTGGCCAAACAAGGACTTGAGTTTGAACGGTCAGTTTGTGTGACAGCTAATTGCTTTAATTGTCCGATATCGGAAGTTCTGACAAATGAGCACTTTATTCATGAACTAATAATGTGTGCAAAATTTCAGGCCGATATCCTAAAAACTATGGTACTAGTTCGAGTGTATATGATATGTACAGACGGCTAAGTCCACTCAGCTGGCCACGCTGATAACTTATATACTTTACCACTACTTTATAGTTCATCCGAAGTTTCTAAACCATATGAAACTAGAAGCATTCTCTTGTATGCGTCGTAAAAAATTCAAAAGAGAGAACGTTGTTATATGATGCTTTTCTCTCTCAAATCATGTTTTTTTCTTAATATTACAAAAAATGTTCAAATCTTTAATTCCACATGAATATTTAGGTATTGAAATTTAGTTTTTGAAAATTTTAAACTTAATATTTAAAACAGATGGTAACCCTTTTCGAAGAAAATTTTATTAGTAAGCTCTCTAGTTTGAAATTCACCTTCTAATAACTCGCTATTTTGAAGGGCTTCTCACATATACAATAGTTCAGACAGCAATATTTGAAGGTTGAATTTAATTACTTAAATTTTTTTAAACAAAATTTTGAAAAGAGTTCAACGAATATTTTACTGCCAGCTATTACAAAGCACTTTAGTTTGATATCCATATTTCGGTAAGTCCTTCCTATATGTTTGAAAGTTTATAGTTTGCAATTTAAATTAAAACAGATGGCAACGCTGACTAAAATATTTTTAATTGTAAGCCACTTTAAGTCACCTCAGTTTAATGCCTTTATGGCATCGTACTTTATGTCATCGCTTCATCTACCAATTCATAAAACTTTTGTTTCTATTTGTCGATTGGCAATAGTTTTTTTAACTAGTGCATTTTCCTGCAGAGTACCTATGTAGGCACATACCCATTTACATATGTATACTTGTATTTACGTAAGTCGTGTGGAGCGATTGCGCATGAAATTCCCGATATGCTTTGTGCAAATGAATAGGAAAACAATAAAGCATTAAATGAAAATAATGTTAGGTATTTCAGTATTTATCGCTTTTTGTGCGCCCATTTACCCACACACACACACAAACATACCATATAGTACCTATGTACTTACATATGAGCTTACACATTTGTTTACTTACATAATAGCATACAATAATAAATGTTCCATTAAAATAATTGATTTCAATGGAAATAACAGTTGAATGGAAAGGTGCACGGCTACTTTATTATATAAACAAACACACACATAATTACACGTAAGCAAATATAAATATACAATACCATATGTGCATACATATGTATGTAGATTATCATAAATATATATTTAACTTTACATATATGCACTTGTACTTCATATGTGTGTAGTCCTGAGCTTTAAATTTATGGCAGCGATTACAATGTGGCGCAACGCCTGCAGACATATTGAAAAGTCACGAAGCAATGGGTAGCGCAGCCGCAAAGTTTGCATGTGCTCGTTGCTGAAAATAGCAGTGAATTTCCAGGCAAACGAGAGCAATGTAAATACTCAAATGAAATGAATGAGGGCGTATTAACAGCCTACGCATTTTCGCAGAGTCAACATATCAATAGTTCACAATTGTTGACTGCAGCGTGGTACTATGTTCGTACTTATACATGCATATGCATGTATGTATATGTGAACGTACGAAGAAGCGTTCGAAACTTCGCAAGTTCGGAGGCAACAACATATTTTTTTCCACATGAATTTCATTATGGTTTCACCATGGTCGAAAAATACTCTGAAACTGCAGATTTTCAACGTAAAATATTATTTTATACCTCAAAAGGAAGATGAAACTACTTTAAATTAAAAAAAATACAGTCATGTGGTTATAAAGCGCTGTAGGATAGATGTTCTTGTATATCGAAGTTTACAATAGGCTGTCTATGCAGTAGCATTCGGTAAAGCTAGATTTCCAAGATCCAAGAAATATAATCAGCGCGCAGGCTGTTCGCCAAGAGCCCTTGAATAGTTATTGGTCTGTTGGCATTATTTTACCGCAAATTACTTCGCCGCAAATTTCACCTTTTTTCCGTTTTTTTTTTATTTCAATCGCTAGGGTAAACAATCAATATCGGTCGAACCGATATGTATTTAGCATGCAGAAGAAAAACCAAAATATTCGAAAGATAGCGATTAAAGACATATAAGTTACATATAGTTTAGTTCCGCTGAAATATATTCAGTTCCTTACTTTTACCAAAATCATCGAGATTTTTGAAAATATATACCATGTGATCAAATATGATCCGGATTGGTTCATTTAAACTCCTCTAGATTCCTATCGTTCAATCCTTTTTATGTTCATATGCTTTTTTATCTCCATGTGTCAATTATGTGTTTCACAGATGTTTGTTTATGACACAAAAGGCTGGATTTTTACTATGTTTTGCACAATTACTATGTGTTACAGTGCTTGAAAATCGTCTTTTTGCATTCAAAGACCTTTCTCTAGTATCAAAACGACGTCGAGTAAAGGTCGCAAAAGGGATGTTTGACACCTTAGCTGAAAACCTTATATTCATCAAACGCATCATTACGGGTGATGAGACGTCGAAACTCTTCAACAATCTAACAAATAGAGCTCCAACAATAAGGGAAGTGTTAAGTTTGGTTGTAACCGAACATTTTATACTCTGAGGTCCACATACTTAGGAATCTGAAAAGTTATTATCCGATTTCAACTATTTTTGATCGTGAGATTGCATTCCTTAAATAAACTTTGTTTACAAGTTGTATTTCGATAACGTGGTGTCATATCTATATCGATTAATGAACAAAACTATAATACTCTGTAGCGACATGTTCCAAGAGTATATAAGTGAGCCGAAGCCGAAAATATTAAAATTCGCTGAAGGCACTGAATGCCAACTCAACCGAGGCTTTTACAAATGTATGGAAAATTGAATTGAGCTTTGGTATGTTTGTATTTGGTATTTAGCCTATTTTAATTGGCGATAACAAAAGTTTGTATAAAAATACGCGAAATTGTTATTTTTAACATACGTAAGCTTTATAGTTTTGCCTTATCTTACTATTTTGTTTGTAATAAGTGAAACTATGTATGTGTAGTTTTCTCTTCTTCACACGAAGTCTGCTAATCAATAGGTTATACTTTTTCAGTAAATAACTCATAAACGATAAGCTTAACTTAAAAGTCTTGATTTACTTACATATATATTTAAGCACTTAAAATTTGTTAAATCCAGTTTTAATACTTAAACTCGCAGTACTCGATCACATCGCGTAAAAAATTACACACTTGTGGCATGGGCATGAAATGGAAAATATTCGAAAAGCTTTCGTTGACTGCAATTTCTGCAGAAATTTAAATTGCTGTAAGAAGTAGTACAAGTAGGATATGAACTTTCTTTCTTTTATTTGAAAATTGAAACCTATTTGCGAAAAGCGTTGCCAACTTTTAAGAAACTTAACTACAGTTAGTTAGTTCACCAATTCGAGTAGCAAAAAGGATTCGGCGAATGTCAGTTATTTATGTAGAGTTATCACTACTTGGAAATTATTTAATTTTCTGATTGTTTCTTTGTGATTTATAATTTCTATTCTAATATTTTTCAAGTGCTATAAGCAAACCAAAATCTGACGTTTGATAGAAATTTTAAATAAAAAGTTGATTGAAACGGAATATTCAGTTATATATTTAGTAATAACTGATCTAACATAGTATAATAACATTACAAAACATATTTATATACTTTAATTAGAAGTGTTAAAGCAAATTGTTTTTCTCTAAAATAAAAGATCATTTATAAAATCATCTTTATTAAAAATTAATTTTGTAATAATTAACTTAGTCTCTCATCGCCTCAACCCCAATTAATTTTACATACACAGTTGAAATCGTTCATAATCCACTTACCTCAGAGATTGTAATTTAAGCCCCAATAATTGATTAAGGTCACACAGCCGAGCTCTGCTGCCTTGTTAAATAATGATTATCTGCTAGAAAATATAAAAGAATCTATTAGAAAGACAGGTGGGTAAAATTAATTGTTTATTAAAAATTTACAACAATGCGAAAAATATTAAATCAAAGCGAACAACTAAAGTATCAAGCATTACAATTTTTGGACTATGAACAGCGTGTGTGGTATTTTTGAGATATCTCGAGCATGTTATAAAAGTGGTACACGCTCAAATTTCGTTTAAAACGGAAAACAATTGGTGAGAAACGACTTATTATCCTCTCCTCACCAAATCGTATATTTTCAGTTTTACCACACTTTTATGAACATTAAAAATACCGTTATGTGAGAGGTGATGTGGTTACGGCTTAATTTTGACAATTTCCACGGCACTTAGTAGTGGCATAAAATAATGCGCAGGAAGTTTCAGACGATATATCCGAATGTTTGATCATCAGTACATAACAAATAGAGCAGATTTTAAATACCTAGATTAGCAACAGTTCGAGCCATTTGTTTCTTTACTTTGAATATTTACCCTTGAAACTATCTTATAACACTGCTGCCGTCAGAGAATTCAAGAAAATTCTAACACTTTAGCAACATTATCTTTCTTAAAATAAATTAAAATTCCACATCTCTCCCCACACAATTCTTTGCTTAATGAAACGTGTGTTCCAACACGCCCCCCACTAACCTGAAGATGTGCGACAAAGCGCGCCGCCTGTCATTTTGCCAGCCAGGTAAGCGTTCACAAACTTGGCATAAATTGTTCTCCTAATAGAAGCAAGAGCACAAACACGAGTGCTGTGAGTCAAGTGCCGTTATTTGCCAACTCATGCAAGAGCACACCACTCAGTAAATATCTCGCTCACTAATACGATGTGTAGACGTTGCCTTTCATAGCACGGCATTTGGAAAACTCATACTATTTTAAGGATTTACCATGAAATTCCCCCAACTCAGTTATTAACCTGGTAATGAAGTGTTGAAATTCTTAGATTCGCTTTTAATAAAGTGCGCTGCAAGCCGAGCAGGTTTCACGTAGTGACAAGCACAATTAACGAGAGAAAGAGTTAGTATGAGATAATGAAGGCATTCAGCTGAGGATGTGCTAAAACGAACTGTGATGAGCTTGGATTAGCTTTTATAGTTTTTATATGTGGTATGTGTACTTTATGGCTTGTTGTAGTTATTGAATGCTTTGTGTTGATAACTATTTATTTGGGAGTCAAAAATTAAGTTTGTTGGCAAATGTTCTATTTATTTCACTGAAAAAATTTGAGCAAATTTTAGTTAAAAAGTATAATTCAATGTAATGTGAAGCTGTATTTTTTAGACCGCTTTAGCCTTATTTCACTTTGTTCTGATCTTCTTTTCTTCTTTACAATGACGCCGCTATTAAGATCAATGTTAAATGCTTGGATTCTCTTCTAACTAGATAAAGATATATAATATGGTCCGTTAAAACTTACTGGTAATTCTTTAAAAGCTCAAAGTCATGATCAGAGGTGTTCACATTGTTCTAGTCGAGTCGTTGATTATTAGGTTTTGACTTCTTACCAACAATAATATGTTCGTATGATTTGTATAACTCGGAACCTTTTCTTATCAAAATTCAATGTGAAATATTCAGCTGAGTATGCACTCGTCTATAACGAACGGGTCTATATAGGCGGTGTTAGATATACTTGTAGAAGTCGATTTGGAAGAAAAATATGAAGGTTAATGCGGGCATTCATGGTAAATCACATTCAAAGCTTAATTGGGGCAGAATATGAGAAGCCATCATTTTAACAGAATAGTGCACGATTGTTAACGAATATAACTTTACTTTGCAATAAGAACTATCCTTAGAAATTACTGATTTTAACTATTACCTCTGATGAAAGTCATATATATATAGAGCACATTTCTTAAGGTTTCCTAAAATTACTACTAATTTTAGCCCCAACTTTATCAGACGCCATAGAAATAAATATAATCTAATTCTCCTAATATATGAAAAATACTTATAGAATTTGAACTGAAATTTTATTCATATCATATTTTATTTAAAAAATCGCGGATACTCTAAGCACAAATTCGTCAAAATAACAAAGGCTTCCATCCAGTATAAGATTTTATTATCATAGTTCGAAATTTCTTGAATAATCCTTTTCGTTAATAATTAGACCTCTAAGTTTACGCCCACGCCCACTAAACGCCATTAATTGAAAATCAATAAATTGCCATAATTAAGCTCCACAATAAGGTACAAGACTGTTATTTTGTATAACAAATTAAATTATTACGAATTAAAAATTGGTATTAAAAAGTGTATGTGGCCCCGCCCACTAAAAGGTTCAATACGCATATCTCCTAAACCGCCTAAGCTATAATAATCCAATTTATTCAGGACAAAACTTCTTTGCACCGGTCAATACTTCTCTTAGACCCCCATATACCTAATATAAATATTTTCGAACTTCTGGCTGAATTTATACCGCATATGGCCAATATGTGAGCTATAACGGTGCATTTGTGTGCCTAAACTGGATAACATCGAGTGAAAAGCCTAGCCTCCATATAACTGATATCAGGATTATCAAACATCCGGTGGACTACATTCCTTATAAATATATTGGTGATAGTAAGTGAGGTATTTTTTCCGTTAGTAATATGTAATAATGCTAAAAATAGGTCAAAATGGGTCAATACTACCTCTATCTCTATATGCACGTAAACTGATTTTTGTTATTTTTGCAAACTTTATAACGAATATGCCGGTCAGTGTGTGAGATATTTATTTATAAAATTGCTTGAAAATATGTTTTGGAGAATATTTGTGTGTGATATTTTAATGAAATTGAATGGATAAGCTTTCCTAAATATTATGAAGGTATTTCCTGGCTTTGATCCCTTCCTTACATTTTCTACTTAAAATTATCTCAAATCCAAAAACCAAATATTTTTTTAAATTAATATTGATAATAAAAGAAATTATCGGATGCATAGTAAAAATACTAATTTTTCGCCACTTCCATAAAAAAAGTAATATTTTCTAAAACTTAAATTTCATAGTGCCCAAATTGTTATCAAAAAGCGTATTTCTTCGACTAATACCTGACCTTTCGAGAAAAACGCGTTTAAAGATTTGGAAGCCGATTAAACCAAAAAAGCGTTTACAAACATCAATTTTTTAATTTTCACAGAATATTATGAAATATATATATGTACACTCTAAAAATCTAAAAACAATAAAAATTGTGTTTTAAATAAAACCCTAAGTTAAAACTTGTGCTTAACACTGAAGAGTTGAAGCAAAAAGTTTTTATTTCGTTAAATTAGCTATTATAAATTCTCGATGATGTTATTACTCCCTATATTTATATGACAAATAAGATGATTTGATATTTATCATGTAATATTTGCAAAGGCGTGAATTTCAATTTAACTCGAAATTAATGCGATTGTATTTTTCTGTCTAGGCATATTTATCATAGCAACCTTAAATAGGGTGCAAACACACAAACGGCTTTCGAAATATGCAGATAATGTGACAGACTTTACGTAACCACTCTCTTACACTTCTCTACGTATAATCACACGCACAAATGCCAGAAGAACGAAATACTTATCAATTGACGCAGCCATTCTCCAACAAACACACACACGCAAGCACATTAAAAACTTGCGCATATTTACGTTATTTTCCTCATCGTTAACTTTTACACAAAATCAGCTTAACTTTGTGGCATTCAAAGTCTGCAAATGTCACAATTTTCATATGCCATTTAACTACGCCTCACAATTTTCATGTGTACATTTATTGGAGTTTGTGTGTGTGTGTGTTTGCTGTCCTGTTATATCTGCATTTCCATGCAAATTATCCCGATTGTGATTGCTTGAATAACGGCATAGAGTATGATAACAGTGTACATAAATACACATAACTGTATTATTACATATATCTCCTTGTATATGTGTTTGTTGCAGGTTTTGTGTTTAACCAGCCACGGGGCGTATACGTAACATTTGTTTGAAATGAATTCGAAAGTACCCTGAATTATCGACGGCGACTGGCGAGTGTGTTGTTCTTGATTCAACTTTATTTTACTTCTTTTTTTTGTGTTTTGTAACAACTCTTTTAATATCTCTTTATTTTTTGCTTGACTAACGATCTGTCAGCTTAAAGCTGCTTTGCTTCAGCGCATTGTGGGGAATTAATTTTGATCCACTCGTTTGCAATGAATTTATTTCTAGTTGTGGTGAGTGTAAGATTGTTTGTTGTTATTGTTGTTAAATTAAATGTTTGTTTAGATATAACTATAAAATATCTCGAATACTTATTGCTGGCGTCAGCATTTCATTATTCCAGCATTATGAACAGAATGCTGTTTTGCTGCGATCTTCTGTTATATTGTTACATTGCTATTTAGCGTCTCACCAAAATACTGATAATTTTTAAGATCTATATAACTAACTATTTACAATAGTTAATATCTTTAATTAAATAAGTGGCATGCAAATATAACGAGACATACTTAATATAAAAGAAATAAAAAAAAAAGTTCGGACACAGCCGTAAATTGTATTAGATTTATTAGAAATACTAATTACTTCTACCCGTGTAATGAAATGTCTTGTCTCAGGTAAAAAAAGGAGCTTAAAAACTCTTATTACCTGACGAATATGGTATAAATGAAAGACGTGTAATAGTTTCAAGTCTATTGGTCTAGCCGTTTCGGAGATATCTGCTTTAGCGACGCGGAAAACAGAGTTTCAAGAAAAATGTGTTTAAAATTTTGGGAGCCGATTACACTAAGTTAAAAAATTCGTACAAATATGTTCATATCTTCGAAACTAATTGCCAGATCAACAATTTTTGCAGAACATTTTTAAATATACTTAAATTAGGTACACAAAGAAATCGTCTTTTTAAATAAAATCTTTAAGTTTTTATTTAACAGAACTTGGTATAACAACAAAAACAATATATGTATATCACAACTTCTTCTTCTACTCATGGCAGCTACAAGCAAATTCAGTGCG